TCTTCTTCTTCTTCTTCTTCTTCTTCTTCTTCTTCTTCTTCTTCTTCTTCTTCTTCTTCTTCCTCTTCCTCTTCCTTTTCCTCTTCCTCCTCATCCTCTCTCTTTCTTCTCTCTCTCTCTCTCTCTCTCCCCCCCATCCCTCTCTCCTTCCTTCCTTTCTTTTTGTGTTTCAAGGCAGGGTTTCTCTGTGTGGCCCTGGCTATCCTGGAACTTGCTCTATAGACTTGGCTGGTCTCAAACTCATAGAGATCCACCTACTTCTGCCTCTCAAGTGCTGGGATTAAAGACATATGCCATTACTGCCAACTTAATTTCTTAGCATTTATTGAAGCCTTCATTGCTATTTCTGTGAGGGTAGAAATTATAATTTGATGAGGTTAGTAGCAGCTCACAATGGTTTTAAAAGAAGAACACATTTTATTTTATAATAGTAATGATGTTCCATTCATTTGGCTCTCCACAGAATGTAACCTTATGTTTCATTGCAGTGGTATGGCTAAAGTAGTCTATGGCCATACTCCCCTGAACTCACCTGGTCTCTTCTGCTGGCTAAAGTCTGTCTCTTCTTATCCTATTAGAGTTTCCACAGACGTGAGATACAAGAAACAACCATGGGGCATTATCAAGTCTTTAATTGAGAAGAATTCCTGGAGTTCACTGGAGAGCTATTTCAAACAGCTCGGTCTGTAAAGTTTTGCTGCATCTGTTTGTATCCAGGTCACATTTACTAGCAAATGTGTTGTTCTTCATTAGGACACGTCGGGGCCAAGTGATGATGCTGGAATGATGCTCACGGATGTGGCTTCCGCTCCTCACTTGTTCTGTCAATGTGGGATTTTAAATTTTCAGTTATTGTTGCTAACAATGCTTATTTAATGTTTATTTTATGCCCGTCATAAAATTAAAATATATATCATAGTGTGAACATTTCCTACTCACAACATCCCTGTGAGGTGTAGCTATGATTGGTGTTTCCCATTTGACTACAGAGGAAACCAAAGTAGGGTTAAGTGACTTGTCCAAGATCACACACTGCTTGCCTTTGCAAGGAGGCGGGAGGCTGACCACAGTTTGGGATTACAAAATTAGTGATGGAGTCACTCACCCTCTCTCATGTCTGCAGAGCCCCAGGCCCACACCTGCCTTCTTGGCCACGGCTTTTCTGAGCTTAGGTAGGCCCACTTGGCAATGGCACTGTGTTTATATGGATTTGGTGGAGGTGGGTACTGGCAGATGACTGTGAGAAGCAATGTGGCTGTTGTGCTGGGATATTCTTACTAAATACATGAGGGAATGCCACACATATGTGAACATAATTAATTTTACTAAAGGAAAAGCTGAGGTCAATCAGCTTGAGCGACTTAGGCTGCATGGTTTATTTTGTTGGTCATTTGTCCTATAGCTCTTTCCCCTTTGACTGTTTTGTTATTAAACTTCTCATTAGCAACAGAGAAAATGAAGCTTAAACATTAGCTTGACTATTGGATAATGAGATTTGGATGAAAAACTGAGAAAGGAAAGGGTTGAAATAAATGACAAAAAAAAAATTGGGATTTTTAGGTTGTTTGAAGATTCCCCTTGCCAGAATGTTTCTTTGCAAACCTTAGAGCGTCTACATGTTTCTCTTCGCTTTAGGGTTAGGAAACACTGGGCTCTATTTTGGAACACTTTCTAATGATCTCATGGAAGTATGTGGAGCTGTTGTTTCCATAACTGAAGCCATTATGTTAATATTTAATATAGCACGTAGCGAGTTTCCACTGATGATCCCATCATTTATTGATAAACATTCTTCCTAGAATAATGAAGCCTTATTATAGGGTCATTGTAGTCTCCAAAGCTTTTAATTAAGAATAAAGTTTGAATCTAGTCTGTAGAACCTAACATATGATTAGAAAAGATTATCAAGGCTCAAATAAGCAAACCTGTACATGCACACATGCGTGGACACGCGCGCGCGCACACACACACACGCACACACACACACACACACACACACGCACACACACACACACGCACACACACACACACACACACACACACACACCCTAGATCCTATAGATGAGAAGGCTTCCTCCTTATCCTACTGTTTTAAAATTTTCATCTTAGAATCAGATTTATTAATGGAAGAGTCTGTGCTAAATCAATCCATCGAAGACCCTGGAAAACTCAGTAGCCTACGACGGAGAAGGCGGACCTTGAATCGAACGGTAGAAACAGTTCCTAAGCTGCCCTCCCAGCGTTCTTCTATAGATGTGGGCTTCGAGGCCAAAGGGGATGTTACAGGTATCTGTTTTTGTTAAACGGACAAAAGATTTTAGCCTTAAGGTGCACTAGGTGCTTCTTGTTTATGAAGAATGTCATTTAAGGAAGTCTACCTTCCTCTCCTTTTGGATAATATTTATTATACTCCGAGTTTCTTAATAACAGCTACCTAGAAGCCTAAAGGAGCAGTTGGGACATGGCAGACTTATGGCCAGTAGAGCATTTTGTTTGGTTCACAGAGCATTTAAAAGTTTCAGGCTGACTGTACTGGTACATGCCTTTAGTCCAGCACTCAGATAGAGGCAGGCAGATCTCGGTGAGTTTGAGGCCAGCTGGTCTACCTCGTGAGTTCCAGGACAGCCAGAATTACACACTGAAGTGCTGCCTCAAAAAGGGGAAAAAAAAAGATATTTAAATAAGATCTCAAGTCTGATGGCACTCTACCAAATCCCTTCAGAACAGCAGTTGGTTGGGGCTGCTTAGAGCTGTCCCTTCAGCTGTCTGAGCTGTCCAGCTGGCTACTGTCACCAGTGAATCACTAAATCCAAGCTCTGGGCAGCTTACTTGTTTATTTCCTGCCTAACACGTACAGATACCTGGTGTTTAACTGAGTGTACTGTCAGGGCTAGCCTAGGCACACCGCAGAGGTGGAAGGTGACTTTCGGTTCCGCAGACCCTTTCCTATTACTGTTACCCCTTCCACAGCTCCAAAGCTGTCAGCCCCTCTGACCCCTTACACTACCATGTCCCCATTAGACTTTTAACTTTGTGTAACTGTGTCTATCCACTGATTAAGATCAATAGCTTTTTAATTTTGAAGCATATATTTTTGGGTCACCGTGATTGGTCATTTTTTTTTTTAAAGGAGAATAACGTTCTCTATTAGATCAGCTCTATGTTCTTAGCAGCACATCATGTGTTATGTTTTATTTAATTTCATAGTAAATTAATTTGTAACATGTCTCAAATTTGAAGAATTGCCATGGCTTATCTCCTTTCAGGTTTGTTTCACATTTTACCCAGGTGTCACGAGTCTAAAAAATAAAAAGTGCAGAGACTTCACCTTAAATCATTTTGTCTTTACAAATGACGTATTTTTCTCAGGTTAATTTTGGACGATTATTAACTTTCAGCAGCGCTCACAGTTCTCGCTCTCACTTTCACCCGCAGGAAAGAGGAAGACCATGGACAGCTGCGACACCGCTCTGATTGTGGTGATGAGCGTTTTGTGAGTATGCATTGTACTTACTTGGTTTTTTAAAATTTTTTCATTATACACACAGTGTTATGCCTGTATGTATGTTTGCATTTCAGAAGAGGGCACCAGATCTCATTACAGATGGTTGCTGGGAATTGAACTCAGGACCTCCGGAAGAGCAGTCAGTGCTCTTAACCTCGGAGCTGTCTCTCCAGCTCATTACTTGGTTTATATCTCTCTTTGTTTTTAAATAGTTCCTGAAAGAATTGGAAGGGATTTGTTGGGTTTTTTTTAAAGGATTTATTCTTATTTCATGTCTATTAGTGCTTCCCCTCTGTGTCTGTGTGTGCAGTGCCTTTGGAGGGCAGAAGAGGGCATGGATCCCTTGGAACTGGAGCTACAGACAGTTGTGAGCTGTTCTGTGGGTGCTGGGAACCAAACCCTGGTGCTCGAGAGAGCAGTCAGTGCCTTTAACCACTGAGTCATCTCAACAACCCCTGTGTTTGTGTTTTACTGGGTAGAAATGGTCACTATTGACTGTTGCTGACTCATAGAAACAGTCTTACAGGTTTCAGTGTGATAGCTTTTGATGTATGATTTTTCAGAATTATAAAATTTAAGGGAATATAAAATATACACTAAACATTTTTTAAAAAACAATTTGACTCATTTCTATGAACTCTGTGGGTTTTTATGGGACGTTCCATAAACTTAAAGAAAATACATGTTGGTCATATTCCCATAAAATCCTTCTACTTTGCTTAACTAGGTCAGTGGTTCCCATGTTTATGTGAATAGGAATTAGTTAGGAGTGGGCTAAAATGCAGATTTTCAGCCCTGATTTCAAAGATCGATTCAGTAGACTTTGAATAATGATCAGGAGTTTTTAAAACATTTGACAATTTTTTAAAATGTATGTTTATGTGTATGGGTGTTTGCCTGCATGTCTTTCTGTGCATCACATGCATGCTTGGTGACTAAGGAGGGCAGAAGAGGGTGCTGGATCCCCTGGGCCTGGAGTAACAAGGAGCTGTGAGCAACCATGTGGGTGCTGGACACCAAACCCCTGGGCGAGCAGCTGGGGATGAATTTTAAAGCACACACCCTAGATATGCATGATCTAAGCATCACAGCATGAAAAATACTAGGCAATTAGTCAGAACTTTGGGGTGCACTATAGGCCCCTACCCATGAAGTTACACCTAAGAGCTCTAACTGTACATGGCTGCATGGGGACCTTGGGGGAGTCCCTTGATGGTATAAATGGTTCGACTCAGTGACAGACTGGGTGATAACTTTTGAAATGAGGCACTTAGCTGTTTTCCTTACTACAGATCTCAGAACAAGCATGAAATATTTTGTTATCCTCATTAGTGTGTTTTTCGTTACTATGAAGTCTATGCTAGCCTTGAACTATCTCATGATCCTCCTGCCTCAGCCTCCTTATGCTGGGATAACCTGCATACACCACTGCTCTCAGATTTCCCTTTGAGTTTTAGGAAAGGTTTTCAGATTCTAATTAAATCAGTTTATTTTTGAATGAAAAATACCATTATATTACTTTGTAGAAAATGCATTTATATTCACATCTGAAAATATGTATGTGTGTGTACATATACAACTCTTCAGTGCCATGATAATTTCACAGATTTGATTCTCTTATTACTTTTAGTTTTTCACACACCATATGTATCTATATACTTTTTAATTTTCTGTGCTTCCTGGAATCAAACCCAGGGTTCTGTTCATGCTACATAAGCACTCTACCACTGACCTATACCCTCAGACCCAATATGTCCAATTTGAGGCACATAAATCTTTTAAACAAAACAAAATAAGTAAAGACATATGATACTATTTGCCAGTTTATATACATGTGTAATGAGGTCTGTATTAATTTGAAAGTCTGCTGTTAAAAACAAAACATTACATTTGCATGTAAAATTTTATATTTATCATTATTAATATATATTAGGATTTATCTGGTACTTCCTTTATTCAAGATTAACAAGAAGAAAGTCTTGTTATATATGTGTTATATATATACACACATATATGTACTTGCTGAATATGCATATATATTCAGCACACATGCATATATGTATATATACATATATATGCACATTTGTGCTTCTACTGGAAATAAAAGATAACATTGTGATGTTTCTAAAATCAGCAGCATATTGATCTTCATTTCACTTCTAAAATGCAGTATTATGGGTGTGTAATTGCTTAAGCCAACATAACCCAAAAATAGACCCTGAAAGCTTACCTGGTAGATTTTAAACCCATCGCTGCACAGCACTGGCTGGGTTCCAGCAGAGAAGAGAGGACGGGGGTCAGAGGCGACCTGTGAGCTGAGATTCTTGAAGGGCTGTTCTCATCACTCTAGTCATTTCCCATCACTAGCTTTGATGTCCATGTAATACTTGAAGATAATTATTTTACATAACGAAGTGGGGACAATATATTCAAATAACTAGAAAATCGCCTAGATCACATATAGTTGGAAGCTTTGGCACATATATTGTTTATTTTCTTCATTTGGGGAGGTGGAGGAGAAGGCTGGGTCTGGCTTTGTAGCCCAGGTTGTCTTGTGGTCTTGAATCACAGTAGATCCTCCTGCCTCCACCACCTGGGTGCCGGGCTCCCCCTGCAGCTCAGTGCAGGCTAACGAGCTGTCATTTGTTCTGCAGTTTGCTGTTGCTAGTTCTGCTGAATGTGACGCTGTTTCTGAAGTTGTCAAAGATAGAACACGCCGCTCAGTCCTTCTACCGGCTTCACCTCCACGAAGAGAGATCTTTAAAGTAAGTTTCCCACCCCAGCCCTGCCTGTTGTCACCACCTGTTTCTTTGTCACCGGAAATTTAATTTTAGAAATTCTGGTCTGCTATATCTTATAGTCATACGTGCTTAGTTTTATTTTACTTTTTATTTTTTGCAGTAAAATAAAAGTAACTTTTAATTTTTTTGTGGTGGTGGCAGGGTTTGATGTGTTTTGTTTGCAATCCACGGGGCACAATAATTTCTATAAATAAGGTCAGCAGCTGTTTTCATGATTTTTAGAATTTTTTTCTCTTCCAGTTTAGTCTCTGATAGGTTCTCAAGAACAGAAAATATTCAAAAGAACAAAGATCAGGCTCACCGTTTAAAAGGAGTGCTCCAAGATTCCATAGTGATGTTGGAACAGGTGCGTGAATGGGCAGGTCCTCAGCTGGGCTGTCTTTAGATGGACCTTCTCTGCGGTTGCTTAGTAACTCTCCCCTCCCGCCTCTTCATTCTCACTTCTCTCTCATACTTTCCTCTTGGTGGCTGACCATGCCTTGTAAAGAAGAGGAACCTCCCTCTCTCTCCAGTAACCCCATCTATAAACTGTGCTATGCTGGAACCCCCGTGCTCTTCATGGCTAGGTCTAGGAATATTTTGGCTCAGCATTATGCACTCCACACTTAGCATTGTGCCCAGCATGAAACAGATCCGCCGGGTTTGTTGAATGAACACATGAGCAAATACAGTAAGGAATAAGATATGTTTCTTGGTCTCATGCTGCTTTCAATTTTGTCAGAGAAGTCAATTGTCCAATAGGTTTTCAAATCTGTTTTTAAAAGTAGGATAGAGATCTGAGGTAGGATAGTAATCCCAGAGTTCAGAGACGGGGTCTTAGGGAAACTTCTACGGAATTGGTAGTATAGGGAAGTTTTAGGACTGTGGAGAGGATGCTAGATGGCTTAGCCGGAGGGCTCGAGGTGTCCAGGGGAGTGTGAAGAGACCACTGAGCCTTAAGAAACCTCTAAGATTTTGCTCTGTCCTCTTCTCTCTCTTCCCTCTCTCTCTTCCCTCTCTCTCCCTTTCTCTCTCTTCCCTCTCTCTCCCTTTCTCTCTCTCTCTCTCTCTTTCTCTCTCTCTCCTCTCTTACACCCCTTCTCCCCTTCTGCCTTCCCCTCCATAATTCAACTAATAAATATCCAATTCTATTCTGAAAAAAAAAAGAAAAAGAAACCTCTAAGAAACCAAGGCATTCCCTTTAGATAGACAGACAGACTTTCTGGAAAGTGCAACCCTCTTGTTATGGAAAATTATTTTAAGGTGTGTTACTTTCGTTTATGATGCATTTGTTTGACTCTGTGAAGCTCTGATTCTTTGCCTGTCTAAAACACCCGAGGGTTTAATAAAGAGATGAATGGCCGATAGAGAAGCAGGAGAAAGGGTAGGTGGGGTTAGCAGGCACAGAATATGAATAGGAGGAAACACCTGGGAAGAAAGAAGGCACGAGGAGGAGGAGGACATCGGGGCCAGCCACACAGGCAGCCATGCAGTAAGAGTAAAAATAAGATACAAAGAAGAAAAGGAAAAAGCCCAGAGGCAAAACGTAGCCGGGGATAATTTAAGAAAAACTGGCAAGAAACAAGTCAAGTTAAGGTCGGGCACTCAAAACTAGGGCTAAGCCTCTGTGTAGGATTTATCTGGGAGCTGGGTGGCAGGACCCCCCCAAAAGTCATTCCAAAAAGAGCCAAAACAGTAAAAGCAAATACTCCCAACGAGACCCTCTGGCACCTGTTCATGCGGCAGAATCAGGTACTGGATAATCAATGTTCTATTTGAGCATCAACGTAAAGAAAAAAAACCTTTGGAGTAAAGTAGCCAGTAAACATTGCAGTCTGATTTTTGGTCATTCTGTTTGCAGCTGAAGAGCTCACTCGTTATGCTTCAGAAGACCTTCGATTTACTTAACAAGAACAAGACTGGGGCGGCTGTAGAGAGCTAGCGCCTAGCTGCAGAAATCGGATACCTGGAGCTAGAGACAACAACAGCTGGAAGGGAGCCGAGGATGAGACTGTCACTGTCACAAGAACATTTCTGATATTTTTATTTCTGGATTTCTACTAGGAAAGCCTTATTTAAATAACATTTACCAAGTGATTGCTCTCCAATAGCCTTAAGACTCTATCTTTTCACTTCTTATAGATATTTTTAAGCTGTGAATTTCTCCAGTGAACCATGAAATATATTTTGGAATTGAAATTCTGTGACACAAAAGGGAAGGGAGACACCCTGGGCACGGTGGCATTTTTTCTATGCTGAGGCTTGTAACTTGACCTTTTAAATTTATCTGTTAGCACAGAGTCCCTGTGTGCCCCGGGGTCTGTGTTTTGTGTTCATCACTGAGTTTAAGAGCCCAAAAAGCTACAGAAGAAACCCCTTAATCGTTTCTCTCCTTAAAGGAACATTTTTTAAGGCACATACATTCCAAGTTTGTATCTTTAAATACTACAGTCTCTTCATTGATTTGGCATGCAGGGTCAGTGGTCAAACCCTTTGAAACTCTGTGTTGTCTGAAAGATTCATGGGCCATGTTGTATCTTAATGAAGGAATACGCACGCGCGCGCGCACACACACACACACACACACACACACACACACACACACACACACAC